TGGAGACTGAATGGACCGAAACATGTGGTTAGAAGGGTGCGCTGCAAAGACCGCACTGCTGTGGTAACACAACACCTAAATATTTTTTTTCGTTTATACTTAGTTAGCAGAGTGAAGATCTTCGATTTCTTGCGTGTTGAGGGCAGATCACCTACATAGGAAAGCCCGAAGACCAACAATTACTTTTCGGAGAAATATTTAACCGAAAACAGTGACCGGTCCTGTATTCCTTAATGAAGTTGGATGGGCAGCGAGGGATAGGAGCAGCGATGATGAAAATCAACATATTACGATCACGCGAGCTACGACCAAAATGTTTCTTCCGATCGGTTTTTGGGCATAAGTCAAAAATAATTACGGGCGAAGAAAATAGTTTCCATAGCACCGACCAAAACTGTTTTAACGTTAGCTATGACAAAAAAGCAAGCGTCAAGTAGAACCCCTCTGAGAGCAAATACTGAATAAATGCAAAGTGGCAAAGAAGGTGGGAACTTACCAAATTATCAGTCAACACGCACTGCAGAAAGCCGGTACCATCACGCAGCAGAATGAACATCAGCTTCTTGCTCTGACGTCGGACTTGGTGCGCCCAACCGTAGACCTTGACGCGCTTGCCAACTAAATCCTTTAGTTGGCGAATTTTGGCCTGTTTTGCGGCCGGAAGCGACTTGTCCTCTGTTATGACCAGAGCTTCCAGCGCCTCCCCGGCAGCAGTCACGCCATCGCTTTTGGCGGCAGCTGGCTGTTTGGGCTTTTATACAAAAATAAAAGGCAGTATTAGCATAATAAACTTCGATAAGAGATTTTGACGACTAGGAACAGGCCGCCTAGTCCGTAGTTAGAAGGAAACTCACCTCAGCCTTTGCCTTGTTCTGAGCAGTTTTAAAGTTTTTGAGGTTCTTCTTCAGCCTCGTTTTCGGTATCGGCATCCAGCGCTCCTCAGTACCGTCAACAAAGATGCAAGTACTCGCAGGAACCTCGCCATTCAGCGACTTCAATGCACGCGTAACGGACTTAAAGGGGTGTTGTTCCGAACCATCACCCTTGATGTCGTCACCATCTTTGTCGGAGACGTACAGCTTTGGTGGGGCTAAAGAGACCAAAATGGAGTGAGGATGCATAATAGGTTCACAGAGGCATGAACATGCATACACGAAATGCAGCTGTACATAAGTGTTCGAAGGGAAAGCTTATCAGTGAAGTTAACACACACCTATTTGTTAAAGAACCCGTTGTGAAAATTCATTTTTTCGGAAATACGGTTTTGCTATAATTTACTCGGCAAATCAACTTCCTTGAGAAAATATAGAGGATGCCAATATCCAAAATGAACCGG